TTCCTGAATTTTTCGGAAAAACATCGTGAAGCAGGTGTAAAGACAAGACACATTCATTGGATTCGTATTACCAAGGAAGAATCACCGAGTAGTGAGTAAAGATCTTACGTGTCACAACACACACTAATATTCCATTCACACAGATACACTTACTCTTCTTACACATAAAATTAGATTTATCTGTAATAGGGACTTTGGGTAAAATATATACATTTAATTGTTATTATCTTCATTTTGTGGTTTAATTCAAACATCCTAACAATTTTCCTATCTTCTCATTTCACACAAGAGTAGGGTTCTCAACCTCTTAGTTGAAACAATAACTAAGTAGAGGGGGAATCCACTACCTTTACAATTTCTTTTGTCCGAAGGACACGTAAGTTAAAGTTTTAAAAATTAAAATTAAATTTCTAAATCCTACTTTAACATATACTAAGAATACAACAATTGACAAATTTGACAAAAAAAAATTAAAAAATAAAATTTTTGTGGAAATTTTTTCAACCCCTGCATATTTTTTAAAAATTGTAGAAAAAATTTAAAACTTACATAGGTGTGATCATTCAAGTGTCATCTTTAATTTAAGACCAAAAAAATTCAAAAATCTTAATCGGTTAGCGAGATATCATAATAAACGGCCGAGCATTTTTAGTCAAAAACTGTTCAAAATCAACTAATTCAATGCCTTTGTCAAAAAACATGTTCGTACGTTTATAACGATATTTCACGAACCCAATAAGATTTTTAAATTTTTTAGTCTTAAATTAAAGATGACACTTCAATGATCACACCTAAGTAAGTTTCAAATTTTTTCTACAATTTTTAAAAAATATGCAGGAGTTGAAAAAATTTTCACAAGAATTTTATTTTTTAAATTTTTTTGCCAAATTTGTCGATTGCTGCAATCTTTGTATAAATTATCAAAATTTTTAGTTATGTATCATTAATCGTAGAATTTAATAATCTTTTAAATGGTATATTTGTTAATTTTCTGACATTTGTATTTACAAAAAAATCGTGATTTAAAGATTGGTATGTTTTTGGGCTGTGCGCGTGCAGTTGTACCGATAATTAGCGACGGTAGTGTATACACACGCGCAAAATCCAATAGAGATAACAAACTCTATCACGCCATTTACCAAGGAATTTGCAAGCTTGCAAAAAGCTTCCTTAGTAACAATAAAATCGGCGGGCCGTGTGCATAAGTTTCTTCTACCTACAAAAATTGAGTCAAATTCTAAGGTGCGAATGATTTCCTTTTTGGATTAATCGAGGAGTTTTATTGAGTATTTCCCGCAGAGCGGACGTTAACCATATCTTCATTTTTTTTCTTTTCCCGCAAAAGGCGGAAGTAGATTATTTTTCGTATCCCCAAAAAAAAGGGTTGAAATTCAAATATTGAAGTGATTGATTTCTTAAAAAAAAAATTTATAAAAATCTGATATTGTTATTTAACAAGAATATTTAATTTGTTAAAAAAGGAATCAAATAAAAAGAATATATAGGGGAGATTCTCCAGTTGTGAGACACCTCCAGTTGTGAGACAGTCAATTTTTTTTAACATGCAATATTAAAAAGCCGATTGGTTTATATAAAAACATTTCTTTTTATATGAGCCAACTTTTTCGTGTACGCCGAAGCGGATATATAAACTGTTTTTGTTAAATACCAACACTGTGTGTGATAATTGACTAAAAAGCGTTTTTTCAATAAATGCAAAGTACTTTTTTCCAAGTTAATTAATTAAAAAAGGTAAATGTAATGCATTTTCGTTTAGTGTTTTCCTTATATTTTGTGATGCAATATTGCATTGTTCCAATCTACGGTTGAAAATAATTTATATTATTATTATTATTATTATTATTATTATGTATTATTTTTATTTCGACAGAGATTGAGTCTCGGTGTCGTGGGAAACCGTACTGAACGATTCGGATGGTCATTGATGTGTCTTTTATAGTTTGATGGATTTCTAATCAGGTGGGAAAATATTGCAATAAAAGATGGTGGGGACAGAGGGCTATAACTGTTGCCATGCCGAAATTGCTGAACTTGCATTTTTTCAGGTGTAAGTTGTGACGGTGCAATTTTTGCAACTCACAAAACTTGCCTTTTTTGTATTATTTACCTTTTTGTTTACAAGTTACTCACAATAATTAATTAATTAAGTAATTAAAATCTCTGGCAACACGGTACCAGCGAAAGAACGAAACATTCCACGACCGATTGCGATTTTTAGATTATAATTATTATTTTTGTACTGCCGTCTTCTCTCTTTATTTCATGTAAATTTTGTACGAGTCAAGCAAAGGACTAAGGATTATTTGCTGATGAGACATTCGGAAATCACCCTCTATAGTGACTGTTTAAATTAAATTTCACAAAAAACCAACACGCAATATTTCCGGAGAATAAGTCCAACTTGTCAATTCAAATTATGAAGCCAGTCCACTAATCTGCAAAATTGAAGGAAATCACTGTTATCGAGGAAAATTCGTTACGACAACCATAGTTGTATTTACCATTTATCTATGCAAGACTCAAACATGTAATAGATGAGCAAGATAAAGAGATTTTGGATATTTGTTGCTGATTCACCGAAGATTGAGGCTCAACACTATGACTTGGGGGAAATTTGAGGTTAAGCACATGCTTTTGTTATGACACTGCTGCCAACTGGAAAACGAGATTCGCACAGCTGATCGAATGAATTCTACGGACAGCATCATTTTGTTACGATTGATAGCGTCGCAGTCGACAGCGACAATGTTACCCATTTCCTTAGTTAACTACGATTCCCAATGGATTAGGAGGACGAAAATCCTAATTTTGAGGTTATGTTGAAGAACGCTCAATTAAGTCAGAAACGCTAAGTGGATTAATTATTCGTACCTGGGGACTCAAGAATGGACATTTGTTGCCGGATAGTCATTGGAATTACTGAAAATATCTACCAAAAGCATTAATTTGGTTTATAGTGAAATCAAATTTAAATGAGTTACGCGCCACTTCCAGTAGCAGAAAATTTCCGAAATACAATCAGCTAATCAGCGATCATCGCCAACACCTGAAGTTTCATGCACATCGTCGTTATTTAGTTTCCACTCTTTGTCATATTCTCGGTTCTTTCTCGATTTTTTTATGTATATAGATACACTCTGTAAAAATCGTGACGCCAGGCAGAAGCCAATTATTTTATATTTTATATAATTTCAATTTCCGAGAGAGGAGAATTAAATAGAAGCCCTCGTCTCGTGACAAAATTTAATTGGTGAGTTAGTTTTGCTAAATTTAGTTTCTCTTTCGTTTTAAATTCACTTTTTCAGTCATAAAATGACGAATAGAAAAATTGAATTTGAATATGTGCTCGGGAATATGTCGGCTCCATGCCGGTAGGTTGATATTTTTGTGAAATTCATGATAATGAGACCAATTATTGTTTTGTTACTGATTTAATTCTCGCGATTCATTTTATTTTATTTGTTATTTTCCAAAAATATGCCTTTTTTTTGTTTCCGCGTAGTTCTTTACAATATTCAATTAATTTATGTGCTTTAGTAAATTGAAAATGTGCGATTTACCGACAAAACCCAACTCGACGTTTAAATCGGTTAGATTATGAAATTAAGGAATTTTGAGTGTCTGAAGATTGAGAGTGTTCCGCAAGAATTCGGATAAATTTTGATTATTATTTATTGGATATGTCAAATTTCGATAATTTAATTTCTTTCACGTGATTTTCCGACATTTTGTGATTTTCGTTAGTCATGATACAAAATCATGTAGTGTAAATTTAAAGGGAGATTTTCTTTCGTTAATCAAGTGATAATAATGATTATTATTTAGACTTAAAAATTCAACTTTTCTCCTATTAAAATAAAATCTCGGAAACTTGCATAGTAAACTGATTTTGTCTATTTGAGTTTAATTACTGATTAATTCTATTAATTATGTTGTTTATTTACTCGAATTTCGGATAAATTTAGATGTTTTATTTCGTAATTTTGTTCGATTTATTGAGTCAAATTTTATGAATTATGAAGATTGAATGATTAATTATTCAAGTCGTGGAATGTTTCAAGATTATATCGCGCTTTGATTGTTATTATAAATACCTTCGATTTCTGAATCAAATTTTGTTAATAACTGTAAATTTTGAGAATTATTAAATTTAATGGAAATTTCAAATATAAAATTTTTTGACAAATTTAGTTGTTTAATTTGCAAGAGAACCTCAGCATATAGAAATGAATCCTCCCCTTCTCCACTTATGTTAGCCGGACATTAAGCAAATCTTAAATTAAGACGATATAAATATTTAATTTTGGTTATGTTGGTTGTTACGACTGGTTCCTTTTGAACCTGGCGCCCAACACTATTTGGTTTGTTTCGGATTTGGTTATTCAGTAAATGGGTTAGTATTATTATTATAGTTAAGAAGAAAATTATTTTTTATATTCGTCAAAAATTAAGATTGGAGTTGATAGTGTATAAAATTATCGGGTGAAATTATCCTGGTGGACTATAGTATTTTGCAAAATTAATTTATCACATCACAAAGTTCAGTGCACTATGTTGAAATGCATTCCTTTTCTTTTATTCTTAGAAAAGAATATTTTAAATATTCTTTCAATTATGTAAACAAATATTAATTTGTTTATTTATTTTCCAAATTAATTCTTATTTTTCTTTGTTTTTGTAAATCGGAATAATGGACATTGCGAAAATAGAAACTCTATTCAATTTTGTAACCCTTAAAAGGTTACATCCTGGATAGCAAACTGCTTTGGAAAAAGCATTTAGAGGAAAAATGTAAGAAACTTACAGCTGCTCTTTGGCAATGTAGAAGGGCCATTGGTGGTAGCTGGGGTCTCAAACCGGATACACTATTGTGGATCTATGAAGCAATTCTGCTCCCTAGGCTGACCTATGCTCCTGTGGTCTAGTGGAGTAGAGTTGAGCTAAAAACAGAAAAAACAGAATTGGAAAGGGTAAGGGGGATGGTACTTAGAGGCATAACGGGGGCGGTGCGTACAACTCCTACTGCTGCCTTTGGTGCCCTCTTGGGGCTAGAACCCTTACACCTTACAATTAAAGCAGCGGCGGTTGAGGCTGCCCTGCGGTTGAGTGGTCCTGTGGGCCGCAGGGAGGTGGGCAGATGGCGTCTACCAAAGAAATTGGCGAGAATCTCCCTTCTAAGTATGATTAGGGACAGAACTGTCCCTTTGTACCTCTTCGACAAAAAGTATAGGATTAATATACCTAGTAGAGAAGATTGGATAAATGGACTGACAAGTATTCCAGTTGACTGTGAAGTCTGGTACACAGATGGATCAAAAGGCGGGAATGGAGTTGGTGCAGGAATCTATCATGTAACCTCCCAAGTGGGACACTCCTTTAAGTTGGGGACTACTGTTACTGTGTTACAAGCCGAAATTGTGGCAATATTTTATGGTGCTGTTGAAGCCTTGAAAAATTGTCACAACAAAGATATTTTTATCCTTTCAGATAGCAAGGCGGCCATTTTCTCCTTGAAACGATACGTATAAACATCACGGCTGGTCGGTGATTGTCATAAAGCACTTAACAAACTAGCTGAAACGAACCGCGTTACCCTCCTGTGGATCCCTGGTCACAGTGGATTCGCGGAAAACGATAGGGCGGAGGAGCTAGCCAAGGAAGGGGCTAGAAAACAACTTATTGGACCTGAACCTCCCATTGGTGTTTCCAACAAATGCCTGACACTGGAAATTAAACAGTGGATAGCTGCGGAACACCAAAGGGAATGGCAGGTAACTAAGGGCTGTAGGCAAGCCAAGGTACTCATGGGAAGTAGTATTAACCCTATGAGGAAAGCGGAATTCCGAAAATTAAATAGAAAAGAGGCAAACATCATAACAGGGCTATTAACTGGCCATGGTGATCTGCGCTATCATAGGCACAAAATGGGGATCCTAGACGACCCGAAGTGCCGTAGGTGTGGAGAGGAATATGAAACCCCGATACACATCTTGTGTCACTGCCCTGCACTTGTGAAGGAGAGGGAACACATTACGGGCTACTTCTTTCTGGGCGAGACCGTTATTGCTACCAGAAACCTGGCCGAAGTCCTCCTGTTGTGGAAAGGACTTCGGATATAGGGGTGGTTATGGGGAACGTAAAGGGATTACACAAGCGTTAGTGACGTTGACCTGCAAGGTCTTAAGTCCACACCCTCTTCTTAATAATAATAATAATGTATAATAAAATACGAATATTTAATAAAAAATATTGTATTATGTAATTTAAATTTGTCTTACTATTTTTAATATCAGAATTATTATGAGTGCAGATTAAAGAACCAATTATAACACATTGACACTTCATATGTTGTAAGCAGTTCTTCGATCTGCACCTTAATTATATATGTAGGGCATTCCAGGCTAAATCGGAAATTATTTTGCTTTTGCATCTGAAATTATTTTTGAACATTTTTTTTCTTTTAGTTTTCTTTGAAATGAGCTACCTTGATTTTTTTTTTAAATTTTCATAAAGCGATTCAGGAGATACAGATTTTTGAAAAATGACGTTTTTTACGTATATTTTTTTAAATGTTTTTAACTCGGTCAAAAATTGATCAAATTGGACGTTTTTATAATAAAAAGTTTTGTTTTCATGTGTGGTTTTTAATAAAAATATTTTTAAAATAAAATTTCATTTTTAAGAATGTATGTATTGATCAATTTAAAAAAAAAATTTGTAAGAAACTAATACTAAATTGACAATTTTTAAGCCTTGTTCGATTGTGGGCAAACGATGGAATCATTTTATTTAAAAAATTTTAAGTTTTATGTACACAGTGAAAACGGTAGGCCTAACTTGTCATTTGACCAAATCACAATTTTACACAGAAATAAGGTTAAGTTTGGAGAGACTTAGTCTGAAAACACATTTGCTGCGAAAAATTTGTGTGATTTTGTCAAATGGCAAGTTAGTCATTTGGCCACTACTGCGTATATAAAAATTAAAGTTTTTTAAATAAATAGATCTCATCCTTTGCCCACGATCGGAAAAGGCTTAAAAATTGCCAATTTATTGCTAGTTTCTTACAAAATTTTTTGAAAATAATTGATTGATACATACATTGTTAAAAATGAAATTTTATTTTAAAAATTTAAAAATCTTATCGTAAATTATTAAATTTTTTTTAAAATACTTTTATTAAAAATTACGCGTGAAAACAAAACTTTTCATTATAAGAACGTCCAATTTGATCAATTTTTGACCGAGTTATAAGCATTAAAAAAAAATTACGTAAAAAACGTCATTTTTCAAAAATCTGTATCTCCTGAACCGCTTTATGAATTTTTTTTTAAAAATCAAGGTAGCTCATTTCAAACTAAGAAGAAAAAAATTTTTTTTTTAAATTTGAGATGTAAAAGCAAAATGATTTTTGATTTGGCGTGAAATGCCCCATATATAATATATCTGTCTTCTTTGTTATGTGATATCGTATCATTATCTTATGTTTTGTATGTTTTGTATCTTAATTTTTTGCGAATAAAAGGGGTCTTGTTTCAAAGAGGGCTTCATTTAAAAAGTGGTAATCAAAGTGTATCACGAAATACTTAAAAGTGTTAAAAGCAGCTGATGTAAGTAAAATTGTTAATTTTTAACTTATAATCAAATGATATCAATTACGTTTATTGTTATCAACTTATTATTTTATTAGCAATTTAAAAAATTTATTCTTTTAAGGGGTCATTCCAGTTCAAAATGTCAAAAAAATCGATTTTTTTGTTTTTATTTTCGAATTTCTCATAGTGTTAAGAATACTCTTCTAAAATATTATTGCCAAATTTGAAGTAAAACAAAAGTTATACATCCTTATTCTTCGCCATGACAAAGATGTTTTTGTATGCGGATAAGCAATTGAATGATTTAAATGTTTTCTCATTTGCATTTTTTAAAAAAGATAAACAAAAATGTATGTGGTGTTGCTGATCACAAATTAGATATCAAATTTTCATAATTGAAAATGGCGGATGCAATATGGCGGATAGAAAATTTTTTTATTTTAATTTTTTTTCGTTTAATTTTTTTTTCGTTCACTATAATGCATCCGCTTGTTAAAGTAGGATTTAGAAATTTAATTTTAAAAGATTAATTTTTAAAACTTTAACTCACGTGTCCTTCGGACAAAGAAATTATAAAGGTAGTGGATTCCCCCTCTACTTAGTTATTGATTCAACTAAGAGGTTGAGAACCCTACTCTTAAGAAAAATGAGAAGATAGGAAAATTAATTAGGATGTTTAAATTAAAATGCAAAATTAAGATGTAAACCATGAATTATATATTTTACCCAAAAAGTCCTTAATACAAGTAATCTAATTTTTATGTGTGTAAAGAAAGTACTTTATATATGTGTGAATGAACTTGTAGTGTGTGTTATGTGGTGTAAGTCTTTTATACTCACTACTCAGTAATTCGATCTCCTTGAAATATTAATCCAATGGCACGTTCTGACTTCGTAAATTTAGCGTTGTATCTCCGAAAAACTAAAGAAATACCCAATCTAGGTTCACTAGATTGATATTTCGTCTTGAACCTTAATATTCCTTTTATTGCACAAAATAAAGACCTAATCCCCGTAAAAAAGGCTGTCTTTAAAAATATATTTAAATTAATATTCTTTTAATAAAATTACTTTTTATTTTATTCTTGCTGATACAAGACTTTCTTTATATTTATTTTTCAATTCACTTTATATTCAATATTCTTTTTCAATTCTTTAATTATTTTATTTTCCTTCACAAATTCTTTATAATTATTTTTACTCACTTTATTTTCAATATTTTCTTTTAATTATTTTACTTTTTCACTTGTCACTTTTATTATTCTCAATATAACTTTTAAATTCAACCTTTCTTAACTTTTTATTTCTTTATATTTTTATTCTCAATTCAAATTCACTTTTCTGATCAAACTTTTTATTAAACCCGTTAACTTCTAAGGAAATCCCTTGCTCAGGGATTACAAAATTTAATTGAACACGGCCAATTGCCGGACTTAGAATTGCCTGGCCAAAACTGCCGGCTACAACTACAGGTGACTACGACCTGGACTAAACTGCCCAGATTTCCCAGTGTCAATCAATTTTATCGAAAGACGATTTAGTGGGGAAATCGTATGTTAAGTTCATTGCACTTGACTGTTGCCAAGCCAATTCTGCAAGCTTGCAGATTTAGGCAGTGGCGTGATCCGAGTTCAGTGACTTGGATGCACCACTCCTTATATTGGGCAATTTATTCTTTTATATTTTCTAGATATTTCTCCAAAGGTCAACAAACTGTTTGTCCAAGAAAGGAATTTATTAAGAAATACCCTGTTATATTCTTAGGTTTTTTACCTCGAAATTGTGAAATTCAAAGGAATGTTAAATTTCATTAAATCTATTAATTAAATAGAACTAGATTTTTATCTGATTAACATATCTTAGATTAAAAATTCAAAAAGAAGAATGTCCCTTTTGTGAAATTACAAAGGGTTGCTTTTATGTAAATGTTTAAGGTGTGTTAACAAAATCTTGTGTTGTTTGAATTAGTGATGTACGTAATTTTAGTTTGAGTATAATTAAAAAATATATTAACAACATAAAAAGTTACGGAGTTCGGCCGTAACACCGTTATTTTTATTTTGAATAAATGATGTCATATTCGTTATCAGCGACCCCAAAAACCCCCCGTAATGATTTTCAATTAAATCTAATGATTCTAAAAAAAATGTCCGCCATATTGGATCCGCAATTTTAAATTTAAAATACTGATTCCATATTCGTAATTTGCGACCTTAAACACTCCCGAGTAACGATTTTCAAGCAAATCCAATGATTTTTTTTAAATTTCGAAACTTATGAACAAAAACTTTAAGAGGACATTCCAGTTCAAAATGACAAAAAAATCAATTTTTGTTTGTTTTTATTTTCGGATTTCTTATAGTGTCAAGAATACTCTTCTAAAATATTATTGCAAACTTCGAGGTAAAACAAAAGTTATACGTCATTATGCTAACTGTTACGTTTCTATTAAAAATAATAGCAACCGTGGTATAAGAACGAGCGATGTACTTTCGGAAGTCGCTAGCAATTTTCTCGCAAGATGGTAAGTCTTGCGAAAATTATTTATTTGTAAGTTTATTATTGTCTCAGCTCTATGGGAGCTGTTATGACGTTATTCTCAATTAAAGATAGAAGAAAAATATAGATTTAGAATTATAGAATTTTTACTATCAGAATAGGTTAACTATAAAGGTAGATATACAATGGTTAATTTTACCCAATACTTACAGTTGTTGTATCGGCGTGTATTCGCACAAATACTTAATATTACTTTTAAATGTTTTATTTAAAAGGCAAAACGTTTTAAATTGAGTTAGAAACGGGATTAAAACGATCCATAATAATCGAAAACCGTATTCGAACCTAAAAGCTTTACATCAAGACCCTGATTGTTTTTGTATCTTGATATATAAAGATTTCTGCTAAATACGGAACTCGACAGCACGAATAATTTAACAGACTATGTCTTTGGTATAGTTACAAAAAATATATATATTAAAAGGGCATCTGCCTGATGGGACAAATCTTTGGTTACTTGGACAAGAGAACGGAAGAAAATGACAATTCGGAAGAGGGCTTTCCAGCTTTTATGCAATAGTCCCCACTTGCGGAAAAAAGGCGCAAAGTAGTGAGTAGCCAATATTGATGTTTAGAAAAATGTATGTCGTTTTCCAGACTAATCTGGAGCCGAGCTATTTTAGTTAACCAAACAAATTTAACCGAACAGACCCTAGGTTACTGAACTTTGCCCCGAGTAAGGTCACTATGCGTTGGATATCCTCTTTAGAGTCGTTCTTATATAATACAAATTCGAAGAATTATTAAGATATTACATAAGTTGAATTTTGTTATTAATAATTCATACGTATACCCGTGTGTGATTAAAACAATTGATTCATGCATAAACATTATCATAATGTTGTTAAATATAACTTTTCTTTATAAGAGAATTTATCTATAATAATGTTCACACATGAAATTATATAGTAATATTAATATAATTGGTTGTAAAACTTGTCCTAAGAATATCTAATTGTTTAAAC